ATCAAACTTTGTTTTATGATTTTGGGGATTATGAGGTGTTTTCGAGTTTGACGATAGTGGTCTGTAACTAGCCCTTTCTGCTTCTTGCTGGCGTGGTGTTCTATCTGTGAGAATCTCAATATGCTTAAAATCTGTTCCTGTCTCATCATGTCGGAGAAAGTTGGAAACTCACTAGCGTCTACAGACGAGTTGAATTTGAACAGGATCGGTGAGTGTTTCGTGCCAATTGGATCTTGTGCATCCAAACAGTGTTGGACGTAACATGGGGGAGCTTGTATCCATCCTTGCTTGAGGACTGCTTCACCCACTGTGTTACCACCCACTAAGACTTGGAGGTGACGTAAAAACTATGACGGCAACCCATCACCTGATGTTTCTCTTTGGAGAAGCCTTTGGATTCTTTGACTGTCTGATAATGGTAAGCGGTTCATGATCTCTCGTCTTAATATGGTGTATGGTTATGGTGATGGTGGGCTTAAAATCAAGTCACGGACTTCTTTGGCGACTGAAGGAGGAAGGATAGAACACAAGTCTCTATAGCGAATTCCTTCAGATTTGATATTGCGTCTCGTGAGCAAACCACAACTCAGGATCACTACGATCAAATTCTGGAAGTCGGGATTTCGTAGTCATAACAGTGTCTATCTCCACTGGTGACAAATCCTCCAGGTTTTGGGTTTGTATTGAGTCTGACATGAAGTATATGAACAATATAGTGATAAACTTGACTCGAAAAATGGTTACTACAGCACGAATACCTTAAGATTGTAAAGAAATTATGTATAAATATATATACCAAACTTAGTTTACGGATAATCAGAAGGTCTACTTTTACGACTAAGTAAAACAAAAATAATAAATTTAGTAATCAAAAATGAAATCAAATTGCATTTCACAGGGCTCACCAGTTTCGTGCCTCTTGGTAACCCTCGTGTTATTAATAGAAGAAACCAGACTATTGGGGAATAGGTCTTTATTTTGGTCTTCGCGCAGTCACAGTGGAGCGTGGGATTCCTTGTTCAGACAAACAAAACCTCTCAGCATTCAACATAAGATAATTAGAAATACAACGCCTATACAAAATAAAGAAGTAAATGAATATGTGAACTATGCTGTTTTGACATTTGCTTAGTTGCTTGAGGTCAGCTCTTAACCAATCGACCTAAGCTGTTACAAGTGCATACCGGAATGACTTCTTTTTAATCTTGTGTACACACACGGTACATGTGTAGTGGCTGTGCTTCGTGGACCAATCACCCTCGTAACCGTTATCGTATAATCCCTCAACGGTGTTTGAAATCAGAAGGGAAAGAGAAGCAGCTACTACAGTTTTATTATCGGGTAACTCAAACCACAGAGCAGAGAGGCGAATGGGTCAGCGAACGTTAATGTGTAAAGTGTCAAATATATATATATATATATATATATATATATATATAAAAAAATGAATGGATTATCGAATCGATTAAGCGAGTAATAATAAGGTTAGTGGGATGAATATATGCGTGGGCAGTCAATAATGTTCGAGTATACTTATTCATACAAGCATAACAATAATAAAGGTACAATAAGTTGTGAAAGTACAAATGACTTTGTCCGTCTAATAGGTTAACAAAAGGGTTTAACCGAATTAGATGAGAGCAAACTCAATTGAACGTGAGTTGCTATACATGTGTCATATTGCTGGCACTAAGCAGACTAGACTTGATATGTTTAATGGCACATGTGCCCGTAATATTAAGCACAATCTCATTGCTAGATCGCCTTATTCTTTGAAATATCTCAGAAGCAATACGATTTAGGAAATTATTTTTGTCATTCATCTGATCTAGAATCTCTGCGAGGTTGAGGTTGATGAGATGCTTGAGCGAATCGAAGATGTTTGTATCAACCTGCAATTTTCTTATATCATCCACATGGTTGCAGATATGAGTATCATGATTGTTCACCAATAGACACTTCAACATAAGCTTGTCTGCTTCTGGATGAATGGAGTGGAACGTTTCCTTGAAACTGCCGTAGATCGCGTCGGTAGCGTCGTTAGGTTGTATCATTTCCCTACGTTTAGCAGTACGCCTAGGAGCAGGGGCTTCCACTTCTCTTTGAGGCATGATAAGCAAATGTTTAGTAGCAGATGGACTGAATAATGTGTTGGAAGTAGAGACGGGCGGAAAAAGTCAAGGCCGATGGCTCGAGAGAGTTTGGAAATCAAAACCTGTGTTTAAAACAACGGTGAATTTATCGTGAGGATTGGCGAAGATGTCAAATACAAGAGAGAGAAGTGGGAGGGAGATCGCGGTAGAGATGTGGTATGTATGTTAGTACACGTATGGAGGGAAAATGGAACATAAATGTTCATATTACATGGGAAGATAGTTTTATGTAATAAAGTATATTAGGACCGTCGATTATCAGTACCAGCCGATCTACTTAGATACGGTATGTAATACATCTATAAACTATAAGCCTGCATTAGTTAAATTTGAGGGTGCAGAAATAATCTGTTTTCAAGATTAAATGACGCATGCACAGATCGAAATTCGACTAATTGTGATTACTTGGGAATCTAATCAACTGAAAGGATTACGTCACTTAGTTAAGAACTCGAGGGTAAAATGGTGGAACAAACAAAAGTCCACTCATGACTAAAAGATTTATATCAATAAAAAAAGTAATAATAATCTTGACGGAAAGGCAGCCAGGTGGTACTCGAACATTGTGCTTTCCGTACATGTGAGGTAGTTTGTTGCACCATGGAATCCAGACTCGGAATAGTAACTATAGGGGAAATATAAAGTAGTCCACGTTGTCTCGCTGCTAACTTTGTCCGAAATCATATCTTTTGTCGGTTTACGTCTGACTATTGTCTCACCGTCTAAGGTTTCAATGGGCATCATATCAGGTGGACAGCGGCTACAACTTCAGGTGGATGTATTGACACCAGCCCCCTGTCAACCATTATTCGATGTGCACCTGTACACCGTTCCATAGAAAACCGATAACTATTAACCTGAAATACTAGTCGTCATTGCTCGGCTATGTCTTTACTCACCACTGTAGTGACATCGCTGACATCCAGTACCTCCCCTCACTAACAAGAAGTGATCACATTGTACTGTAATTCAGGTTTTGGACACATAAAAACAGTATCTTCGCCATCCAGTCCCAATATCTGCGGACTAAAATTCCGGCCATCAGAGAGTGTACTATCTCAAAAGATGGGTCGATCAATACAGATGAGTTGGTCGAAGGAAAATGGTATAGGTTTAAAGCCATATACTAGTCTGTAACATTGCCGTTAACCGCTGTTTGGCACGTAGACTATCGAATTGCCCTACATGGGTTGACAAGGAAACCCGAAAGCTGCTGAGGCGTGGGAAGTACCTCATGAACTCGTGCTGTCAGCAGAGCATGAACTGTTTAGGTATAAATACCGAGAAATCCAGGGTGTATGTTAAAAGACGATGAATGGATGACGAGCCACATACAAAAAACGGTCGGTGTATGATACTCGTCCTTACTCAAATCGATTGTTTTCATACACTAGACGAAGAACAAAATTCAGTGAGGGTATTTTTCTATTACTGTTGCATGAAAATTCAGACACATCGGCTAAATCATATCTGAACACGGCTGATATGTAATTAAACTATGTCAGAAAATTCTATTCTACGAGTATTGTTAACACTACTTGTCATAAACTCACCATTGAGATATCAGCTGTAAGACCTGAACATGTGACTGAGGATGTCGCTCTTCAATTTCACATTAGCCTCAGACTTTGTAAGACACCGGGTCCTAGTGGGTAACTTTCACGATTGCTGTCACCTCTCGCGGACATTATTTCAAAGCCAATCACGATGCTCTGCAACATGTCTCTTTCCCACCCTCAACCCCCCAGGGATTGGAAAGATGCTATAGCTAGTCTTATATTTTAAGATGGTCAGAGACGGATCGTATCTAATTGCTGACCCGTCAATCTAGCCAGCATAGTAGTTAAGTTACTCGAAAAGACAATTTGGGTTCGGTTGTTAAGTCACATAGAATCATGCAATTTGCCAACAGTCTAGAGCAACGGTTTGTCTGCCAGTGTGCTACTCTTAGATTTCAGCAAAGGGCTTGAAAACATTCGTCGATTATGTCTTATTGATAATCTCTCACGCATTGGAACAACAGGTGCAGCACAAGAATGGATGAGAAACTCCTTCTGTGACTGAAGTCAGAGTGAGAGATGAAATAAGGCACCATCTGAATAGTAGCTGGTTATAAGTGGCGCACTTAAAAACACCATCTTGGGTTCCATATTTTTCTTTTCTACGTCAACAAATTACCGAGAGTGCTCGAGTTGGTGACATTATTGTTTGCAGATTATGTCAAAATATGGCGAACGTTAAGTGTTGAGGCTAATCATCTTGGTCTCCAGGCTGCCCTCGACAAATTAGTTGGACGATCTCGAAGTTTTGGTCTGGAAATGACTTTTAAAAAGGGTGTGCGCATTGGTCACGGTAGTAGTTATCAATATATTACCAACAGTACAGCCTAAAATGCTTGAACCTATTCCCCTTGTCATAACGTTGAACACGAGTTGACCTTATTTTGGTATTCTGTATCTTTAATTAATATTTGCTTGCTAAAGTGTCTAATCTATGTGTTCCCTCCAGAACCAACTATCTCTACGGCCATAGCAAGAAGATTCAAAAACCGCAATCTCATAAACTTACGGTGGTATTCACTTTTTCTTATATAGCGGGCAATGGTTGGAATACCTTACCAGAACAAGTGGTATTACTCATATGAATGAACATTTCAAGGAAAAGCTGAACGTTCACTGGAAAACAAACTGTAAATACTAACGCAGGTCCATCGATCTACTTTCCTTATTACTGAAGATTAAAGATTTCGGATAATTGGATATAGTTTAGATTTATGAGGCGCAAAGGTTGACGGTGACGTTGTACTTTAAAAACGTGGGAATCCAGTCGTCTATTGTTTCTTTATAAATGACTCACGAAGTATGTGTTTTCGTGCCTTATGTGTATTATATTATTTTAAGGCTCGTTATGAAAGATGAGCATTTTGTTACGAATGAATATCTGATCTTGATATCATTGTGCAGGATTGTTCCCATGGCATAGCATAAATTCACAGCATATAATACTTCAACAAGTTCCTCTTAACTTTCTCATGTCTCATAGATATGTAATTGCATAAGGAAACTCGTAAATAAAACTAGACCGGCTGTTTGTAAGAATATTAGAATCCTTACAATAGTTGGTAAGCAGGTTCGAGCTTATGTTTTTAGTCGAGTACCTACATGTTTTTGCTCATTGTTTGTGCTGAATAAATAAAGATATATGAATGATGTCCCCTTCAGGTACATCCAGACGAACCCCTTCTTAATGTGGGCGACCGGAAAGTAAAAACCACCCTCATACCTCTAACATTACTCAAGATCACTATTCTTAACCATTTTCCCTTTTCAACTCCTATTATTCCTCCTAACTCGACCTTAAACTCTAGACTTTCTCCTCAAGTTTCACCATGGCCAGTGATCCTAGTGAGAAAAATACATTTACCCTGTCTTCCTCCAAATTGTGAGATTCTAAATCCCTCATAATTTTTTGTTTTTATTTCACTACTTTATATTTTGTTTTCGAATCGTATCTTCGATGCCTAATCTTTTCTATTACCACTGATACTGTTCTAGAATTTGGCCTGGCAACTTCTCTGTGCTAACGTGGTATGACAACATGAATTAATATACATACGTACCTGGTCCTACGTTGTCACTGACTGACTAAACTTCTATTCAGTCACTCATAATCCGAGTGGAGCCTAGGACAGTTGCGCCTCGACCCATTAAACTCACTTAACACTTCGCTTGTCGGCTATCACCTTGTTTAGGAAACATCACTAATCATATAGATTAAGTTTTAGTCGTTTATTATCTCGATCATGTCAAAACAAGTTTTCATTTTTGATGTCTTGTTCTTTTTGTATGTTTTATACTTTCAGTGGGGTATTGTTTCGACAGCTCTCCAGGAAGGGAGACATGAACTTGTGATTTCTGGAAAAGAAATTTCAGAAATGATCGAAGCGTTGGGGTTTGACCAAAGGATTTATGATCTAAAAAAGCTCAATTTTCTGGAGATTTCACATACTTGTTTGGAATTTCTGTCCGAAGATATATCAAAGCTTTCAAATCTTGCGCAACTATGTCTTACATCAAACATGCTAAAAGCTGTCCCAACCAGTCTCGGATCTCTTCATTGTTTACGATCTTTGGACTTATCCTTTAACAACATTTCAATGATCCCTGACATTTTCAACCACTTGCCTAATCTATCTAGTCTTATTTTATCTGGCAATAAAATACAAACTATACCATCTGTTCAAGGGTTAAAATCACTACATGAATTCTCAGCTTCTAAGAATCAATTGACTGTATGTTATCTTGGGTTTTTTTGTTGACTGTTTCGGCTTTTAGTTACTTCCTGAAGGAATCGAGTTGTTAACTAATCTGGCAGTCTTGGATGTTTCATATAATAACATTTCTAATTTACCGAAGGATTTGTTTAACTTATCAAGTCTTAAGAGTGCGAATTTTTCAGAAAACTCTTTAACTGATTTTCCAGCTAATATTCATCGTTGTCGCAAACTGAATATTTTAAAGATTCATGGAAACCCTTTTAAAGATAATCGGTTGAAAAGGCTTTCTGTCGATGAACATTCACCAACTGCGCTTTTAGCTTATCTTCGTCGTTTGGACGAAACAGGAAACAAAAAAGGAAAGAAAGTTAATGACAAAAATTCACCATTGAAAAATTCAACCGAACCTGAAGAAATGAATAATTCTATCACTCGACCTCCGGAAGTTACGGGAATTTCAATGCCGCATATTGTCATTCAACGCCCAAGGGACGATGAAGTATGTTTTTTTATCTTACAATTCTATCAGTATTTCGGCAAATTCTTGAGATTATTTCAATCTATTAATTGGTTAAGTAATTTTATAAATTGTATATAACTTATAACGCCTATATCTGTCTTTAACTAATAAGCCATAATGTAAACACAGATCCTGCTTAAAATTATTTACACTAAGAACCTAACAGAAATCACTCTCACTAATGCCAAATTTCCAACGGATTTCTAATATTTTTTAACTCAGCCCTGTTTAATCTGAATTCGTCGAAAAGTTGCTTCTAATGAGGTCATCCTAAAATTAATGTAACTAAGATTTTGTTTTCAAATGGTGTTTTAGCTAACTTTATATTAATAAATCGTATAATTAGGATTTCAGTACTAAGACTTTTTAATACTGTACTCTACATTTTTGTTAAAATGGTTTGCCTGATTATTTCCGTTGAGCGAAACTGACGACTCAAAACTAATATTCTAATATATTATCAACTGGTTGTTTCAGATCTTTGAGTAGTTAAGTTGCTATTAATCAATACTATCCTACTTTTTGCATATTTGGTATCATTTTTAAGGTACTTGTTGATTCAAATACAAGTCCGATTCATTTTTATTACTGTGTTTTGTATAGGTGAATAGTTTTAGTTTGGTTTTCACCATGAAGTATAGATATAAACTGTTGGAAATAACGAAATGTTAATTAAAATGTTATAAGAGTTCTGAATATAACAGGATATGGTTAATATATTTTCAATAAATAAGAACTAGCACCAATCAGTCTCTTGAATAGGGAATATGATTTTATTACCTTGTCATATTAATTTTAAGCACAATAGTACATTCATAAAATGAATGTCTGTTGGACTGATGAGATTGGTACAAAAGCAAAAAAATATTCAAAAGCGTCATTAAATTTTTAGAAATAACCTTTGTATGACTAACCAAACACCATAACTACCAATCAAATCGCTGGCAGGAAAAATTATTCAGTATCGTACATTGGGGATTAGGCCATGAGATGTTTCGGTCGTCCAACTAAACCTGACAGCTTAGCCCATTCAAAGTGTGAGTAGAGCTACTTTGTAGGACATGCTGCCTGTCTAATAACTATCACAATTGGCTGGTTTTCATTCTCAATTGCTACGAATTTTAAATCATCCATAAGACGTAAAACCATCCTTCTTAATTCAGTTGTGTTCCTCGGCTGTATACGTCGGATATGCAACCAAAGTGGGATCAAAAATAGCCCCTCCACAAACCGAATACATGTCATCTCCTGAATAGTGACTTTCATCCGAGGGATTGCTGAAATAGCTAACTTCCATTTCAAGTTGAATGGAATCCTCGGTAGGAGGCCGCCGCGGCGTTAGGATTTGCGTGATAGATTGTTACTCATCAGCATATGATGTGAAACAATCGTTCAACATATCTTAGGAGAGTTTAGGTTCATTATATTAAGATCACTAACCACGGCTTGCTATCCCGTTCCATCGTTGAGAAATAACAGAATGTGATCAAAATGGTAAGACATCAACAAGGGTGATTCCATTTTCATTTTCCATACAGTATTACCTTATGTGGATTAAAAAGTAGACGGGTCCCTTAGAAGAATTCAGCTGTCTTCAATGGCATCAGTTGTAGATGGGAGAGTGAAGGTTTTTAGTCGTCTATAGGGTTCATTTCTAATAAACACTTCCGACACCAAATGTAACGAATGTTCTGATTGTCCGTTGTGAGTTCGTATCAGGGAATGATGATAAATCAGTTGATGAGGTTGTAAATCTTCATCGACTAAGATAATTGGGCCACGTGTTGTGCCGATTACCACGATGCGCAATGCTAACCGGTGTAAGGGATAATTGGAAGAAAGTTAGGGGCGGCCAAACTAAAACATGACATCAGTGCTTGAAGTCACTAATTTCTGGCCTGAGCCATGTTGGTAGATGCAGACTATTTGGTTGGGGTCCGCGTGACTATCGTAACCAATGGTTGCAGAATCTTGGTGACATGGCTCAGAATCGATCACAATGGTGTAGGTGTATACACTCTTTATCTTTCCTTAAACCGTGAGATTAAAATTAGTTTATACCTTTATTTTTACGAATTAATTCTTTCTTCCTGTACTATCTCCTTATATGCAATCTTTCTTTTATATATTACCACCACTGAATTAACTACTATTTATTTATTTATTTATTTGAACACATAAATATTGGTACAAGGGGGCACCAAATATATATGCGCCACACAAAACAATGATAATTTGAAGAGAAGGAGAAAAAAAAGAGAGAACAATAATGAGGGAAACGAAAAGGTACAATCAGAAGAAATCTTTCAGTTAAGGAAGAAGCAACCACATTTTATGAAGAAAGTAACAGAAGGTTACAGCACGATCGCCATTGGCTTCTATTCTGAGCCATATCTGATAACGTCTCTAGCCACTGTGTTACACCGTCTCTCGGACCCCAGCCAGGGAGTCGTGAAGGACCAACAGAAGCTAGCCCTTTGCAGCTTTCTTTCATACCACGACACCATGTCATATACTGACCACCTCTCCGCTTTTTCCAACCAGTCCCAGAGTCGGCAAATAATGCACGACGAGGAATTCTCTGGGACGACATTCGTAGAACATGTCCAAGCCACCGAAGTCGGTGTTTCAAGATGGTGACACCAATTGAATTATCGTCTCTGTGCCCGAACACACGATGCCGAACCTCTGCATTACTAACATGGTGTTGCCACTGGATCCCAGCAATCCTTCGGAGACAACGATGATCGAACACAGAGAGTCGTCTAACATCCTCAACTCGGAGAGCACAGGTTTCACAAGCATAGAGCAAAACTGCTCTCACTGACGCGTTGTAGATCCGACCTTTTACAGCCAGACTAACATCACGAAGGCGCCAAAGATGGCCCAGATTGGCATAAGTCGCTCTGGTTTTCACTATACGTGCATTGATCTCATCACTCACGCCACCACCAGCACTTATGCAGTTACCTAGATACACGAACTTTTCGACTACTTCTATCTGCTCACCATCCAGAGTGAGTACAGGATTAGAATCCTGCCAGTCTTGTAGAAGTACTTTGCACTTCGAAGGTTCAAAGCACATACCATACCTACGGACACTGATTGCCAACTGATTAAGTGCGGATTGCATAGCTTGGGCATTCTCGCACAGTAAGACAATATCATCCGCATATTCAAGGTTGAGAAGTCTTTCTCCAGGCAACAGATCCACACCACCATTACTTACATCCATCAGAGCTGTTTCCAGAATGTCATCGATGGGAAAGTTGAAGAGGAATGGTGAGATTGGGCAACCCTGTCTAACTCCACTGCTTGAATGGAATAGTGGAGAAAGGTGGTTGTATGCCCTCACTCTGCCTGAGGTGTTTGTGTATAATGCTTTCAGGATGTTAATAAACTTCTCAGGCACACCCTTCTTCAATAGACAATCCTAGAGAACAGTTCTGTCCAACGAATCGAAGGCAATTAACTACAAAAAATCCTGTATTCATCTTGTTTTCCTAATGAGGTATGGCAACTTGGACCGATGCACATATGTGCCTGGTCCTGCGTTGCAGCTGACTGACTTATATTTTTGATGAAAGAAGCATTGTAAACTCTGTGGGCTCTGTATGTTAGGTTGCAGTGATCTGAAAATAATAATGCTCTGACCACTAAAGTATTTCACCTCATCCGTGTCAAAATTACATAACACATACTTTTAATCTGAATTTACCAATCATCTGAAATGGCTAAAGTTCGTAGAACCACCTTTGATTCATGAACCACAAGCAAAATCTTAATCCTAATTGGCGATTTCCAAACAACTTTGAAAATGGTCAGTTGTGGTTTGTCGCAACGTTTTGCTTTATTGTATTTCTAGTTACAGGTGGCATCGTTTTCAACCTGACTCCTGTTTTATAGCTTGAATATTATTAAAGTATACAGTATGAGTTTAAAGTCTCTGAAAACGAAAAGATCGGTTTACCAATCAAATGATCTACTGGTCTTTATTTTTTGTTATTTATAGCACAGAAATTAAGGTATTGCTAAGCACAAAAATATGCACCACATAAACATAATGATAATTCGGTAAAGGAAAACAAGAGGTGAAGGTCGTACACTCCATAAAAGAGTGAATAAAAATTATAGTGCAGTTTAAAATAGCCATGGAAAGGTTTTTTAGGTTTAAGGCAGTTCATCTAATTACCTTGATGTATGTAATAGAAAACTAAAAGTTATAATACAGGTCTCATATATTCTTGATGCATCGACACCAAATATTCCTAAGACATAGCCAAACCTATCTTTTTTCCACTCTGTTAATGTTGGAGGTGACAGGTTTGAATTACACACTTAGCTTCAGAAAAGTTTTACCCAATTTCGTCCGTTCTAACAATAGTCATAAAATCGACAATTCTTTAATTTGGAACAGTTTAGAGATGACTGGATTTTAAGGAGACACAATCCCACGGTTTATTTATTATTTATTTATTTTAACACATAAGTATAGGTACAGGGAGGCACCAAATACATATGCGCCACACAAATCTCAATTGATTTGTGTGAGGGCTGTGATACTGCCCGGGTGCCCAAACCGAAGCAGGTGGTTTTGCTTAGGGGGCCACACCCCGAGCCTTTGACCTGAACGTCTGATCCACAATGCAGTGGAGCATCGTGAGGAGATGCAGTCCCATGGTAGCCGGTGACCAACGATTGGTTCATACGACATTTGTCCCCGCAGGATACTGGAGCCCATGTGCACCATTGGTTTGGGGTCCGGTTAAAGCCGGTGCCGGACATTCGCTTTTCGTCCTCTCATTTTTGTAAAAACACCCCCGCCACGAGAAGGCAGTGAGTAGGACTTCCCTGCAGAGGCTATATACGCATGGATTTCGAGGGGAGAGCGGACTCTCCCCACTCTCGGCCGTACCAGGGCATTTGGGGCAATCCCACGGTATCCAGTGATTAAAATATTATAATATCATCATATGCATCTTCTAGCAATTCTTTTTTGTATGCGTGTTTGGGAGATTAACTCGAACTGTAAACTATTTTCGAACACTACCGAAGCCTAGATTTTTATATTAGTGTGGTAAAAAACATTGTCACCAATAAGCGTACATTTGGTTAACATTCAATCATTTTTAAATTAGATTTAAAGAATAATTATCTGATCACCGTGTCTATTGCTATTGTATTTGCTAATATTTTTAGGTTTGTGTAATTCGTCGTTATTATACTCTGTTTTTTAAATACTTTAGGAATATCAAATTAATCAGACTCACTCAGTGAAAACTGGCCCACGTCCTTACATCGTTGCATGTACGGTTCATGGTGTAGAATTTCCTTCTGAAACTAAACTGAAAGCTTTTCTACGAGCTCAAGAAAATTGGCATCGTGATATTGGCCAAATGCGTCATCATGCAACTTTAGCTACTCATGATTTACAACTAATCCGTTTTCCGCTTGTTTATACTTTAAAGGAAGCAAAGTCATTTCTAGTAAGTTTTCTTTGTAAATATTTTGTTACGTCTAATAATCTTTGTTTCTAATTAGCAAAATGAATGTTATATACTTTTTTCCTTTGGTTATAAAAATGAATTCCCCTAAAAGTCTTTGGAAATGTAAAAGAATATCATCAGTCTAGGGGACAGCAGAAGTGCTTCATATGAGTAAGTATTTTCAAAAGTAATCTTAACAAAAGATAAGCAAATGAGCAAAAAATAAGTTCTCTAATATAAGCTGTCAAGTTTCAAAATAACACATTAAGTAGGAAGTAGAGAGATAAACGTTTATAACAAAGTATGTGAGTTAAATTAGTACCACGAGTAGTGAAGAAATAAATGAGAACGACTTTAAAAATAACGATTAGACCGATAAAAGGCGGTACAGAATTCCAATGTAATTTTAGTCTAATGCATTGGCTTTTTATTTTATTTTATTTTAACACATAGATATTGGTAAAATGAGGCACCAAATACATATGTGCCACACAAATCTCATTTGATATGTGTGAGGGCTGTGATACTGCCCGGGTGCCCAAACCGAACCACGTGGTTTTCTTAGGGAGCCACACCCCGAGCCTTCGACCTGAAGATCTGACCCACAAGGCTGTGGAGCATCGTAAGGAGATGCAGTCCCATGGTAGCCGGCGACCAACAATTGGTTCATACGCCATTTGTTCCTTCAGGACACGAGTCCATGTGCACCATTGGTTTTGGGTCCGGTTAAAGCGCCAGACATTCGCTTTTCGTCCTCTGATTTCCGTAAACAACACCCCCGCCACGTGAAGGCAGTAAGTAGGACTTCCCTGGCAGGGGCTATATACGCGCGGCCACGTGAGAGCATTTGGAGAGGGAGAGCGGACTCTCCCCACTCTCGGCCGTACCAGGGCATTTGGGGGCCATTGGCTAGAGCGTATCAGTTTCATATTCCCACCGCTTTACGCAGCTTTATCCAACAGTCCTAAGCACTTAGAAGACATCACATTATATTACACTAGGGAATGAGCTCAATGAGAATTAGATTGTTTCGCTCACCGTGTAAATGGTATAAGTTAAAGATATTTTGACAAGGTTTTTTAAATAGGTTTTGTGAATTTATTAAACTGTGAATTTCTCAATTCTGATGTAATATTCTCAGGTAAGTAATAGTCGCTATGCTACAGCAGATGTTGACTTACATAAAATCTGAAGCAACATATTAGGGAGTGGTAGAAACTCATTTGAAACGTTCTTATTTTTGCTCAAGATATCCATAAGAAGTGGTAAATTTTATCATTGAGCTACTTGGTTACAAACGTTGGTTTAACTTTTACTCAGTAAATCTGATGAATAACTCTCAACAATTCATACTTATCTACTCTTAAACATCCAGTCTTTTAAAAGGTTTCTGAAATTTCATTTTCATATATGAGCTATATTTATTTGTTATAAGGATTCCTTTTTTAAAGATTATTTTTATCACATGTAATTTTACTCTGAATAAAAAATTGCTAACATTAAACAGAATACTGGTATTAAGATCTTGTTGATTCAAACAGTCTGTTCTCTATTATCAGAAGGGGTTTTGTGGAGATTGTAGTAATTTCAATGATTAAGATCATGAGTCAGTTGAAGCTAGACCACCCGTGGAAAACCTCGGAGCACTGGACGGCCGTTTCATCCTATTATGGGACTCCTTAGCAGTGTGCATCCACAACCCCGCCTCGCGGGATTCGAACATATGACCTATCGGTCTCGTGTATGAGCGCTTAACCACTAGACCACTGAGCCGTCATCCAACGGTGTGAATGTCTAACTTCAACTAATCCACGAAATCGAGCGACACATCCACCATTGTTACTATCCCACCAAAGACCTGGTTGAACTCCACTGGTCACTACTTCTCACTAGAACTCTAGGAAATACCTTCTGAAGCCAGTGACTAGTGAGCATATGTTGATCAATATCAGAAGGGGTTTTGTGGAGATTGTAGTGGTTAAGTGCTCGCGCGCGAAACCAGTAGGTCCTGAGTTCGAATCTCGCAGGGAAGCGAGGTTGTGGATGCGCACTGCTGAGGAGTCCCATAATAGGACGAAACGGCCGTCCAGTGCTCCGAGGTTTTCCACGGGTGGTCTAGCTTCAACTGACTCATGATCTTAATCATTGAAATTACTACAATCTCCACAAAACTCCTTCTGATAATAAAGTATAAAAGTTTGAATGTATGTGTCTGAAGTTTACCAGCTGATTTTCTTTTGTATATCACCAATGCTTACATTAAAACAATTGTCTTAAAGTTGAATGCATAAACCTGTATTTGATTTTGATAGGGTATATTAATTTCATTAACAGTATATCTATCACTGGTAGTTGTAAACGTTTATGAAAATTTTATTTAGGCACTATAGTATATGCTTTTTGCATATATAAATATAATTTTGTGTATACATTTTTGTTTTTCATAACAGATTCATCCGTTAAATAGATCTCTTAATGGTACTGGTGAAGCATTTTTAAGACAATTAGTTCAAGAGGCACAGTTGGATAGAAAATCTCGTAAACAAACAAAATTTAGTCAAGTTTATCGTTATTTGAATGTATTGGATATTGAAAATGCAATAGTTTCAAATGTATTCAGTGATGTGTTGGTTCCTATTGTTGTGGATAGTACACCAGTGGTTATCTCAGTCCCTCCACTTACCAATAGTCATCACACACGTGTGAGTTATTACTGTGGTTTTTATAGATTTTTAATAAATAATAATCACCTTGGTGATTATCAAAGTAAAATTCATTTTCTAAAATAGTTATAATAAGTGTGCGTAAACAACGTTCGCTCACATCGAGTAACATAAATATCTAGGTTAATGTTTTATTAGTTTAACTCTATTATTTTTTACTCTGGCTCGTTTTGTTCTCAACAACTGTGCAATATCATTGGTTTTTACACAGTGTTACCTAAAACTGTCATCATTAACCTGTGTAATAAGTTGCACAGAATTACATTAAAGTCGATCCTATCCGAAATGTATAATAGATAGTAAGGCTAATTGGACTACATAAATAATGTTATTTCAAGGTAGAAATACTGTTATAAAATATTTTATGAACAGGTTTATGGATTGTTAAAATGAAATAAATGCATGTTGTTTGTTCGATGAAATTCGCTTGTAAAAGGCAACTAAACGATGTTTGCTCACAACAGTGAAATATTAACGTCTAAGGTTTATTCTTTCTCTTTGCATGTACAATATTAGATTAATAAAATTATTGTTAGGGACTATTGTAAATTAGAGTTATGAACCAATCCACTTCTTATTAAAACTCTCAAGGTATATTGGTGATTGATGTAATTTATGAATGTTGAGTCTAGAGAACTAGTAGCCAATCATAATTGATTTTTCAAAACAAGACATTATATCATAAATACTGAAATAACTTGATCAATATATTTTGACGACACTTCTGCAGGTCAGAAATAGGTAAAATCTGTAAGCTAATACAATTTGGTGTTCTTATTGTTGTCGAATGAAAATCTAATTGTGAATGCAACTATTGTACTAAGTTAGATGACCGAAAATAATCGTAACATTGGTTCAAGTAAATTTTTCCTCACAAATAATATCGCAAACCCAACATTACTGCTTACTCGATAAGACAAATTCTTGGGGAAATTAGTAACCAAACATAACCAATTATTCCGTGTTCATAAAGTTGTTACTGAAAAAAAAACAAACATTAATATTCCAGTAGCGTACTACGCATATATTCTATTCTTATTGTGTGTTATTGTAAATTGCCTGACTGCAATCTTCCGTAAAAAATGACTGAATTGATTAGTAAGATCCTTAAGTTATTCATATCATCTTTGTTTTCTAGGTTTTTGTTATTGTTGTAATTACTTCTACTAGCAAGAAACAGACCATACTTAGACTGATTTTATGTTGTCGCCTGTTATACTTCTTACTCAATTTTCTTTTATATTTATAGTTAACTGTTAACACACATAATATACTGATTGAAGTTTCTGGAATCAATTTACCTTTATGCAAACAATTTGCTGAAGTAGTCATCGCTTGGTTATTAGAAAATACTTGTCCAAAATCAAGGGAAAATAAATCCAGTGACAAACCAAATACGGGGGAAGTTAATACAACAGAACAATCACAGCTTGTTGACGAAGTAGATAAAAAGTTAACACTAAAATCGATTGTCGTTCCACCTAACTCTCTTGTAGTACGTCCAATCCGTGTTGTCGATGTTGATTTCGATTACAATCTATGTGTCATGTTTCCATCACGATCGGATTTAACTGATGCAAAGTTTAATACCATACGTTAGATATATTATTTTTATTACTCATATGTTATCAGAAATGAATTTATATCTACATAGATACTCAACAGAGTGGAATAATTATTTTTAACTTTTATTCATTATTGCTAATAAGTTTTCTGTTTATGACACGTTTCTTTTATCACCATTAACCGTCATCTTCATTATTGTTACTGGATCATGTTTCTCATTTAAAAGCCATAAACATGTTTTAACGTATGTCTGTTTGCGATTTTGTAAATTTGATTCTTTATTTTCTATTCATAACGTCTTTATTATGATTAGGGAGACATTATAATTACTTCATGTGGAATTTGGGGAATCAAAAAAAATAAAATAAAATAAACTGTTGGTTTATCATTTATCTGCTTGTTGCTTTATTTCTGCTGACAGAAATTTTCAGAGTATTTATCTATTAATTTAACCTTATTTTGGTGACTGAAAGAAAATCATTAGCATAACAATGTAATCATACGTGTGGTTTTATGTGAGCTTCACATGTTGTAAAAATTTTGACAATGATACTTATAATTATTCACTAACTGTATAGGATTCAGTCAGTCAGTTGCAACGTAGGACCAGGCACATATATGCATCGGTTCAAGTTGCCATACCTCATTAGCACAACAAGATGAACACTGGATTCATAGAAGTAGTTAATTCAATGGTGGTAATATATAAAAGAAAGATTGCATATAAGGATATAGTACAGGAAGAAAGAATTAGTTCGTAGGAAGAAAGATATGAAGCGATTTTAATCTCTTAGTTTAAATGAAGACAGAGAGTGTATACACCTACACCATTGTGATCGATTCTAAACCATGTCACCAAGAGTCCGTAACCATTGGTTACGATAGGATTATTGAATAAAGAAAAATTCGCCTCATGGAAGACAACAATACTATAGTGATTAGAGGAGAATTCAGGACCCTTTGAATGAAACATTCAAATTCAGTTCCACTTACTTTGCTTTAGGTATGCCTTAAGTTTCACTAGTCTTCAACACAGTAAAGTATGACTCTTAGTTGATTGTATAAAGTTATACTTAATAAATGAGTTACATAAAATGAAATAGAGGTAAGTCATTGGAAATTAAGTGCTTTAAAATAATCTTTTGTATGATTACTATTTGGCTTACTAATATGATGCTCATAGGTGAAGAACTGACTTCTTTTTTAATTTATAGCAAAATCATCTTGAATGAGATTTTCATTGTCTATAAAGTCCCTATCCTTTGGAATTGTAACTAATAACTCAGTCTATTTCAAAACATGCTAGGATATTCTTTCAGTGAAAAAAGACCGGAAACTTGCAATAAGCACTTTTATTTTTAATGTAAATGATCTTTCTATCAGTTTAAATACTATTGACTGACGTCAACTATATAAAATCACTGAAACTCCGTGAGCAATGAAAAATTACATTCAGTTTACGATATCTCAAGTTGAATTATAAACTGAATGTTTCTGATGTGCTTATCAATTAACAAGTCGAAAGTATTTTACAAATCATGAATCCTAAAATTGAATGCTATTAATACAATGTTTCCATACCTTTTATCATTATAAAGTTTCCTCAAATTAATTGAATTTTGGCATGATACATTAATTAGGCCTTAACTATTGATATGATTAATTCACTTGATATTGTTTTATTTGAATCTTCCCATTGATGTTTAGGACTGAAATTGTTCAGTCTCTTATTGGCATATGTGCATATAGGACGAAACGCGCGTCCTGGATTCCACTGCTAGCCACTATCTATCTTTGCTTATATTGATGTGATTGTTACTGTTGTCGGTAAAATAATAATTAAATAAGTAATCAGTTTACATTTAAATGTTAACAACCATGTTAATGATTTAAATATTCAATTAATAATTAAAGATAGTTATTTAGTTTTAAATAAATGGGGAGTTCATTATTAACATGTTTAGTATCCCTAAACTTATATTTATTCATTCCACTAGATTGACTGAATATATATACACTTAATTCATTCTCCCTAAATTATTTAGGCCATATATGAAATGTTGTTCATCTTTGTAAAAATGATATCATTTTAAGTATTGACTAACCATAGGTGTTCTTTTTAGCAACATTTTAACTAACTTTATGAAAATACTGAACTGTTGCTTTTAATAATCAGTCAGTCAGTCGGCTGCAACGTAGGACCAGGCATATATATGCATCGGTTCAAGTTGCCATACCGCATTAGTACAACAAGATGAACACCGGATTCATAAAAGTAGTTAATTCAATGATGGTAATATATAGAAGAAAGATTACATATAAGGATATAGTACAGGAAGAAAGAATTAGCTCCTAGAACGAAAGATATGAGGCGATTTTAATCTCTTAGTTTAAAGGAATACAAAGAGTGTATACACCTGGGTTATGTCACGAGGAGTCTCCAACCATTGGTTACGATAGTCACGAGGACTCCAACCAAGTAGTCTGCATCTACCAACATGGGTCAGACTAAAATTTAGTGACTTCAAGCACTGATGTCACATTTAGGTTTGGCCGGCCCTAACTTTCTTCCAACCGTCCCCAACATTAGCCAGGATTGCGCGTCGCGGTAATCGATGTTCAGGCGTGCGCAACACGTCGCCCAACCATCTTAGTCGATGAAGATTCACAACCTCATTAACTGATTTACCATCATTCCCTAATACCCTGTGTCTAACCTCACTATTACTTACCCGGTGATCCCAACAGATGCGAGCAATATTTCTAAGGCATCTGTAGTCAAATGCTAGTAGTTAATTGAAAGTGTAATATTTTGTAATTGATATGGCTAAAAGTAGAGTAAGGCAGAAATAAAGGATATTGATTTTATTGTATATGTTCAATAAACATACAGACCCTATTTAAATATTGGAAATATGAAATTCAGCGGGGCCTCTTTTTGACGAATTTATTATCATGATGTACGATTGTATACATATATATGTTAAATTTTACCTGTTAATGACTCGAGGGTAATGTGAATAATGGATAAGGGAAAGCGTAGGATATGAGGTGCTGAATGGGTAGAACTTTGATTCTTCAGAAAAATACTGTATGAAAGGTGCTATCTGAGTCTCTTGGTACAGAAGAATATAAAGAAAGTTGTGAAAAAGTCTAAAAATCCCGCTTGATAAAAAGAAATATCTTTGTACAAAACTAGAATTTGGAAGTGGGCAAACTTCAGGTTTCGATAACTATTAAAAGATGGATCTATGCTCTAAAACTACAAATTCACATTCATTAACAAAAATTTATTTTCCATATCCGTAAGGGATGAGCTTCTTAGTTTGGTCACTTCCATGAGCATCTACCGGTTTACATGCTCTTGTAGTGCAAGTTACATAGGCTAAAGCCAGTGCTTGCTTTCAACTAGTATACGAGAACATATTTTAGTGTGACTAACGAAGGTGAGAGGAAAGAGTTTAAATTTTTGTCCTTGAACATGTAATCCATCCTAATAACTCTACCCATACGCAGGCTGATTTCAAAATTGTCTATAGTCCAAAATGACTAATGTTTCTTCTCATTTAACTTCGTAAAACACTCGAAGCCTTTGACATCTATGAAATAAAGCCTGGATTGTGTGTACAAAGTATGTACTTCTTATCCTTACCTTTTCCACGGACTTATACTATTATTATTGTTATTGTTATTATTATTATTATTACTATTATTTTATTTCGTTATTCCGTATATCCTCATGATTTCATTTAAATGTTTTCAGATATCATTTTATTTCATTTACTCCCTTACATGCCATTAATTATTGTCAAAAATGATGAATTATTATACTCCATTGACATTACAACTCATTGCTATCTCATTACTTTCACATAAACTTTATTTGCACGTAGTCAGTCTCTTATTGTTATATATATATTACGCCTGTTACTCCTCGCGAAAGAGCATAGGCCGCTTACCAGCATTCTCCATACAACCCTGTCCCAAGCAATCCCTTCAAGTTCTTATTCATCCCTTTCATATCCGCTTGTATTTCCCAACGAAATGTGTTCTTTAGCCTTCCTCTTTTCCGCTTCTCTTCACGATTCTAAGTTAGCGCTTGCATGCACAACACGTGACCCAACCATCTTAGTCGATGAAGATTCATAACCTCATCAACTGATTTACCATCATTCCCCAATACCCTGCGTCTAACCTCACTATTACTTACCCGGTGATCCCAACAGATGCGAGCAATATTTCTAAGGCATCTGTGGTCAAATACTTGTAGCTTACGAGTATCTCTACTCTTAAACGCCATGTTTCTCAGCCGTATAGTAGAACGGAACGAACTGCCTCACAGTATACTCGACCCTTAATTGATAGACGGATATCTTGCCTGCGCCATAGATGACGTAAGTTGGCAAAAGCCAAACGAGCTTTTCGAATCCGTGCTGAGATTTCGTCAGACACCAACCCATTAGGTCTGATCAAACTTCCAAGATAAATGAAGTTGTCAACGCGTTCGACTACTTCACTCCCTATCTTTAGTTCAGGGCTTTTAATAAACACTTCGATTTTACTACTGACAGATTGAATTGATTTAACGTAGTACATATTTTGTTTTGTGTAACTTATGTTGTTCGTATCTTTTCTATTCTGCTGTAGTGAAATTTGAGTTTCATGTTATATATATATATATAATATAACCAGTGATATAAATTATTGTTATCTCAATCACATGATAATCTGGCTTATTAAATTTATAGAAATCAATTTATTTAATTAAAAGTTATTTCGTTAATTCATTTTTATTTTAGACTGATTATTTATTGAAGGATAAGTTTTTAATATACATCTACTCTTATTCATAAATGACAAGAAACATAGTTGTAAAGCAACCGGAATGTTTACAAATAAAACCATGTAACAATGAATATAAAAATTTGAAACAACATGATAGTCAAATAGATATGGTACCATGGATTCAGTCATCTAATAACAATGTGCATAGTTATGCTCAAAAAAGTGATGTAGATTATAGTAGTGGTGATA